AGAACTCAGTTGTAACAAGCTCCTCACAGGTAGACCTCCTATTGAAATCAACAGGGTTATGCACATGCACAGTTGTCTGCCCATTAAGAGCTCAATTCAGGATTGTGGCCCAAAGGTATTAAATTTTAAAAGACTAGGAAAGTGGTTCCTAATCCAAGTGAAGGTGAGAGATCAGCTGCTCTCAAATTCTGCAAGGTATCTGGAGTTGCAATGATATTGTCATACCCAGTATAACCAAAGCATGCCACATGGTACATTATAACAATTTGTACATTTTCTTTTTCTCTAGTCCCTCCCATTAAATTAAAATGTTTGGGAACCATAGGCTGCCTCTTCTGTCCCCATCAAAAAACAGATTGCAACTACTAGAAATGGGCTCTGTAGCTGTGGTCTCAGATATTTACATTTAATCCAACAGCTAATTGAAACATAACACTTTTCATTTTGAGTGTTTCATTGCCTTTAGTGTTCTGAACTAGCAGTGAGAAAATAATCTGCTGCAAACCCAAATGCCATATTTATGTCATTTGAAAAATACTGTCTCAATATACTGTTCAGAGAATATGTGAAATACCTTTAAACTACATTCACATACCTGTCAAGTGTCAGAGGGTTAGCCGTGTTAGTCTGAATCTGTAAAAAGCAACAGAGGGTCCTGTGGCACCTTTGAGACTACCCACGAAAGCTTATGCTCCCAATACTTCTATTAGTCTCAAAGGTGCCACAGGACCCTCTGTTGCTATTCACATACCTGTAATAATTCTTTGTATTTTTCTGGATCCTCCTCCATTAGTGTTCTGATCTGGCTGTTATAATGATCTGATATGCTCTCTTCCACTGCCACAGTGCAAGCCATTGCACCTTCTTTTCCAAGTAAAGCAGTTCCAGCACCTGTAATTATCAAACAAATTAATTCAAACAAAACATTCCAACCTACATTATTAACAACAACATCAATAAGACTATGCACTCACCTAAAGCAAACCCTGCAACATTCCAAAAAGGCAATAAAACAGTAGGTCGAACTCTAAATGTGACCATTAACTCATTAAACTTTTTCAGATGGTCCTTTTCTTGATCCCACATTTGCTGCAACAGAAATAAAATTACAGAAAAAACGTAATAGAAAATAAGCATTAACTATAAATGTAGAGAAAAAATTCAATGGATATTAACTTCACTCATGCTAATTTGATTTGTAAAGGTGAGCAACAAAATAAATTAAATTGGCTTGTGACTGTTTTTTCTCTGGAATACATAAACAGGGCCTGAAAGGTGCGCAGGTAGGGATAGGTTGTGTGTCTTTTCCCTCCCTCTTGCTTGCTTTTACATTAGAAATTCAGGTCCTGTCTAACATAGAAAACTCTATGAGGACTGAAAAATTAGGAAATGATGACAACAGAAGAAGCAAGAATGAAAGTTGACGAATTAAGAGGAATTTGTTGGTCAGATTTGTTAAAACTTTACTATTAGGTTTTGTTAAAACCTATTTGTAGTCAGTAATTAGTTAACATTTTGGGAAAAGGGAATATGAACAGTTATTTCACAGCTTTCCCCTCATTCCTTTTTTACATATAAAATGAGTTTTATTTTACAAGAATCTTGACACCTAAAACATAACGAACCCTTTGTCACACACTGCAACAACTGCATGTCTATGATTCACTCAGCAGTTGGGCCCTACCAAATCCCCCACCATGAAAAACACGTCACGGACCGTGAAATCTGTTCCCCTCCTGTGAAATCTGGTCTTGTGTGTGCTTTTACCCCATACTATACAGATTTCACAGGGGAGACCAGCACTTCTCAAACTGGGAGTCCTGACCCAAAAGGGAGTTGAAGAGGAGCTGGAAGTTTATTTTAGGAGAATTGTGGTATCATCACCCTTACTTCTGCACTGCCTTCAGAGCTGCGCGGCTGGAGAGCGGCGGCTGTTGCCTGGTTGCCCAGCTTGAAAGCAGTACCCTACCAGCAGCAGTGCAGAAGTAAGGATGGCAATATCATACCAGAGCTGGGAGGCTGGAAAGTGGCTGCTGCTGACTGAGGACCCAGCTCTACAGGCAGCAGCACAGAAGTAAGGGTGGCAATATCATACCATGTGATCCTAACTTCTGTGCTGCTGC